ACACGCCCGCGTGTCAATTTTCAATTCCATATTTCCATAAGCTGTCATGGGATCACCTGTCCAACATCCGTTCATGTCCTTTATGTCCATCCAATAAAGAGAGTACACGTGAGTTTATTATGTTTCTTTTTATTCTTTTTGAAAATTGAAATCTGAAATGAAAGAAAAATTGCAAAAAGGTCCCTAGATGGTCCTTGTCATTTCCATCTTCCTTAGAGCCCGCCGCATTCATTGGATTTTTTTTTTCTCGGCTTCAACTTTCGTCGGCCAGCTTTCAGAGCTGCCGCCGCCAATGAAAAAACAATTTTGTCTCGTCATCGTCTTCCTCAGAGTCATTGTCAGCCTCCACACTCGCACCTCAGGTATATGTCGAATTAAGGCTAATTTTGGGGTTTTCTTTAGAAAAAAAAAAAAAAAACACTAAAAATTTTGGGAGGCTTTTGTTGGTTTGTCTTGTAATTTGAATTTTTATTTGTAAACTTTGTATTATTAAATTTCGGACTTGAGTTTAGTAATTAGAATTGTGAAGAGGAAGCTGTCATTGAGAACGACAAGTACGTCGACAGAGTTAACATCACACACAACGACAAGACCAACTTAACCATCACCATTTTCCTACACGGCTAGCAGTCCGTGAACTACAGTGTGTTTGTTTGGGGGTTTGTATTTTGAGTTGGGATTTGAATAGTAAAAATTTTGAATTTGAATAGTTGTATGATGTGATATAAATAGGTGTTGATGTGATGTTTTGAATGTAAAATTGATTTTTAGTATAATATAAAAAATGAAAAATAGGTGTTTGATTTGATATTTTTAGGGAAAAAAAATAGGATGAATAGTATAAATCCAATCCAATCCCCCAAACAAACACACCCTTAGAGGAAGTTGCCCAAGTCATGGAAGGCCGAGGAGCTCAGGTTTAATGCCAAATTCTTGATGCCACAAAAAAAAAAAAAAAATACATGTTAGGAAAATGGAATGAATGTAATGAGATCAACTATAAAAAATTGCAAGTTTTTTGTAAGGATTTTTTGTTACATCTTAGATGACTAAAAAATAGCATAACTTTATTATTTTACTCAACTATATAAACAATCTTATAATCAAATTCAAATTGAGTGTTGGATTAGGATAGTAATGATAATTAGTTTTGTCAAGAAATTTCCACAATTGGTGAAGAAAAGAACAATTCAAACTGAGAATGTTCGACTGGAGGTGCCAAAAGAATTGAAAGAATATATGTTTGTTCTACTCCAATCAACAATTAAGTAAATAGAATATATTTTATCATTACTTAAAAAAATTAATTGAAACTCTTACATTAAATCTGCTTCAATTTATAGTAATGATTTTCAAAATAAACTGTTGTAGGCTTTTTCAGCCGTAGAATTTGCTCCTGCTCAACCTGTTTATCATATATGTCTTGTCTGCTCAATCTTCTTCGGTTGCTTCACCCGTACAAACACAACCAATATTTAGCCCTAAGTCGACTGATACTGGCGAAGACGATGATGGGACAAAATTGCTTTTTGGTCAATGGCGGCAGCTCTAGAAGGTGGCCGACGAAGGTTGAAGCCAAGGATAAAAGACGATGAATGCGGGCTCTGCTGCTTCAGGGGAAGATGAAAATGATGTAGGGGAGGGCTAGAGGGACCGTGTTGCAAGTTTTCTTCAACTTCATATTTCAATTTTTAAAAAAGAATAAAAAAAAACATAATAAACTCACGTGTACTCTTTTCATTGGATGGACAGAAAGGACACGGGCAGATATCGGACAGGTGATCCCATGCCACCTAAGATCATCCGCAATGGAGAAATCCACTTTTGGGTATCTCCACTATTTTTTATTATCCACGTCACTTTCTCTCTCTCTGTCACGTCAGCGGAGATACTCTCTTCTATTTTATATTGACAACAAAAATACTCATTCTAATGTTTTAATAAATTTTTATTAATTAATTATAAACTAAATATATTTATTGTTTAATATAATTTTATACTCTCTCCGTCCCATAAGTATAGTCTTAATTGGGTTGGACACAAGATTTAAGAAATATTGGTATTATATTGGTAGTCGGTAAAAAGTATGAATAAAAGATTTTTTTACCCTTGTGAGTGTATTAGTGTAAAAAGTAGTGGCAATTGTGTAATAAAAATGAAAAAGTAGAAATAATTTTATGGTGATATGATTATTTATGAAAATAAGACTATTGTTTTGGGACGGACAAAAATGATAAACAAGACTATTGTATTGGGACGGAGGGAGCATTATTTAATTGCTTTAAAATTTATCATTATATTTTAGTTAATAAATTAAATTAAATTTATTAATATTGATTTGTTCAATAGAATTATATAATATTTGTATTTATATATTTTAAAATTTAAATTGATAAAATATATTCAATATTGGTATCATTTTGTAAAATACAAAATATTATGCATTATCAAAATATTACAAAATTTAAATATAACAATAAATTCAATATAAATTATAAAAACAAAACATATATAATATATATCATATATATATATATACATATGTGCCATGTGTTGAAACACATGACAAATGAATAACATCTTCAAAATATCTCCCAATTTTTATTTTTTATTTTTTTTTTAAAAAAATGATGTGGCGCATCTCTGGAGATGCGCCCATGCGGATGGTCTAAACTGAACAATCCACAAGTCTCATCTTCATTAATTTTCTTTCCTACTATATAGCATTAATCATCTCTCGTACTATTTGCTTGTTTGTATAGTTTTGATAGTCAATTTTCAAAAGCCTATAGTCCTCACGTGTACTTTTCATTCATTTTATCACATTGCATTGGGTAAATTTTCGGTCGAATATAATACTCTATAAAATAGGTCTGAAAAGACAAGTCATACTAAAAAAATATGTGTAACAGGTGAACCTGGAGGCGTCTGCGATTGAATCCATGACTTTATGATCACAAATTTACTTCCCACACCACCATACAGTCCCTTACGGACACACTCCATCTTTTTTTCATTATGCATAACATATATCTGTATATATATAAATCTCTTTTAGTGACAAAACTAGCATCTAAATTCCGGTGGATAAAATGTTATAATTTATTTAATATTTAACTAATAAATTTAAATAAGAAATAATGATAGAATTATATATGAATTTAAATAGTTTTGGAGGGACAAATCATATATAAATATATAAAAATTAATATTTTTAACACTAAAAAAATTATAAAAAATTAGACTTGAGGGGTCAATTAACTCTCAAGCTCCTAGTGTAGTTCTATCCCTGATCTCTTCCCCAATTAATTTAAAGCCAAGGGACTATGGCAGCGGCCGAAGACGCTCCCAGCAGTAGTTGTAGTAGCAGGCTACTCTTAAAGAAATTTGTAACTTTAAGTGGCGTTGCGGTCGACGGACACGTCGTGTCTACGCGCCACCTTCGGTGGTTCATTTACATACGCCAATTTTGAGCTCTACACGTTCCACGACATAGTTGTAGCAAGGCTGATCTCGACATCGATTTGGTCGGGACTCGATCAACTATCAGTTGAACTACGGTCGGAGCTACCTCGCCGAACTCCTGCCTCTGTTCGTCCGCGACGTCGTCTACTTGGTTTCCAACCTGGTCCTCATCGATGACATCACCAAGCTCGCCGGAATCCCTCCCTCCAACCACTGTGTATCCCCCACCTTCTCCGACTGCCCCGCATGCCACTGTTACTTCAATATCAACGTCATGGTCATAATGCAATATGTTTGGGCATGAAGAAATAGAACACGGGCGTGTTTATATCAAACACGGCCATGTTTAAATATATGTATCTGTTTGACTTTTTAATTGCTTGAATATGACCATGTTTTATATAAGACGGCCGTGTTGCATTCGAATTAGATGTCATCTCGGCTTTTGTTACAGTCACATCAGCATATTTGTGTGAAAATTAAACGGTGAGACAGAGACAAAAAAATGATAACTAAATTTTTAAATGAAACTAATTTTGATAATTTTTTTGATTGAGACCAAAAATAAAAAAAATAAGATTTGAATAGAATTGCTTTTTATTTTTGCTCAAAAATAAAATTTTGGGCGGTAAAGAAACACAATCATACCTAGGGGTGGGCATAGTTCGGTTATTTATAAATATGCAGATATTTAATATCTGAACTAAATCGAACAAATATCCGAAATTAACCGAAACTGCAAACCGTATTCAAATCGAAAATTTCGTTTAACCGAAAACCGAAAATATTTGCAAATAACTCGAACTAAATCAAAATTTAGAACAAATACATTAAAAAATAATTAAAACTCTAATTAAATATAAAATATTAGCAAATATTTCAAATATCAAAACACAAACCAAACTGAATATAATTATTAATATAAAATTTAGAATATAATAATATAAATATATTCAATTTGGTTAACCGAAAAAAAAAAAATGAAAAATCGAAATAGCACCGAACAGAATAAATATCAAATATGCAGTATTTATATTTGAACCGAATTTGCTCTATTAACCAAAAATTTGATTCAATTCAGTTCTACGGTTCGATTTAATTTTTTGACCACCCCTACCAATACCCGTTGTGTCACTAAGGCCATCTCCAACGGGGCTGTAATTTTGACATTGGAGTTTTCTTACTCCAATCCTAGGCTATTTTTACAATAAAAATGGTGTTTGTTACTGTGCAACACTATTTTATTAGTGTTTTTTTTTTAAAATAAAATTGTATATTAATTAATTAATTTATTTTTTAATTTTTTTAAAAATATTAATTGTAGATATAAAAAGTGGTTTATAATAATATATAAGATGAAATATTTGAAGAATATTAGTTTTGAAGTAAAAAAATATAATTGTAGATTGAAATAAAAATTACTATATTTTTAGAATTATAGTGGGATAAACGAAATTGTCAGTTCAAAATGGCCTAAAAAACATGAAAATGACAAAAGAAAAAAATAAATAAATAAATAATCACCCGACCCGTCCGACAAATACGCCCAATGTCTTCGGCCACTGCTTAATCTTCCGGTAAGAAGCAGAGCACGTCGTGTCGTCTCTCCCTGTGCGTGCTTCTCTTCTGTCGCTGCTTCAACCGCCTTCCTCTGCTACAGCAAAGCCACTTCGTCTTCTTCACCTGTCTACTATGGCCGAAGATGCCTGAAAAAAATGAAACTTTGTAAGTTAACAAGAGTCTTTCTTCAGTCGCCTTCGACTTCAGACATTCAGAATTTCCGATCAGCTCTGCGGTCCTTTTATTATTGACTTATTAATTTATTTATTGTGAACCACAATTGTTATGCCCTCGCAGGATGTCGTTCCCGGCGAAATCCATCTACTGATCCATGGGCTCCAACTCCAAGCTCTCCCCAAAAGTAGTCGAAGCCGCCTTAAAATCTTTCAAAAATTGGAGGGCGGCGTTGTCTTACTTCCACTGGGCCTCTAATCAGGAGGGTTACTGGCACAGTTGCTATACGTATAATGCCATGGCTGATCTTCTATCAGATGCTCGACAAAATGCCCCACTGAGAAAGCTTGCCGAGAGTGTGCCCAATTCCCGGTGCTCGTGGACGCCGGGGGCGTTGGGATATTTTCTAAGGTGTTTGGGGAGGTTGAATCTCGTTAATGAAGCAAATTCTTTGTTTGATGAGATGAAATCGTCTGGTCATTGTGTTTTGAATAACTACAGCTATAATTGTCTGCTGGAGGTTATTGCCAAGAGTGGTGCTGTTGATCTGTTGGAGCGTAGGTTGGATGAAATGAAGAGTTTTGGATGTCCTGTTAGTAAGTATGTTTTGACGCCAGTTCTACACTGCTACTGCAATGCTGGAGAGCTTGATAAGGCTATGGTAGTTTTTAACCAGATGCGTGCCGAGGGGTGGGTCGATCAGCATGTTTTGGGTATTTTAGTGTTGCATTATTGCAAAGCAGGGGCAGTGGATACTGCTTTTGAGTTGGTTGAGTGGGGTGAGAAGAGTCTCAAGATTAACTTGAATGAGAAGACATTTTGTGTTCTGATTCGTGGGTTTGTGCGCCATGGAAGAGTGGATAAAGCTCTTGAACTATATGATAAAATGAGGAAAATTGGGTATATGCCTGATCTTTCTGTTTTTGGAGTTTTAATTAGTGGTTTATGTGGGAACAATGAGGTGGGAAAAGCTATAATGTTGTGTGCTGACATGAAAGAGTTGCGGATTTCTCCTAATTCGTTTATTATTTCTTCTGTTTTGCCATGTATCCGTGAAGAGAGAGAAATGGTTCAGTTTCTAGAAGTTTGCTTTATGAATTTGGGTGCGGGGAAACGTATGCTACTTGAAGATCTTGTTAATGACGGCTTTGCTGATAAAGCTTATCATATGCTGAAGGCAGCAATGGGATCTGGAATTAGTGAAAATAGTAAACTAGGCGATATAGGTTCGATGAAAGATAAGCTGGATATAGCCTGTTTTCAAACTGTCATTGATGGTTTGTGCAATGCTGGCGAATTAGATATGGCTCTAGACCTGTTCAGTGATATGGATCGGAGTGGTTGTAAACGCAGTGTGTTACTTTTCAATAATTTGATTCTTTCCTTGAGCAATGCTGACAGATTGAATGATTGCTTTCAATTACTGAATCGGATGAAGGAAACCGGATTTGAGCCAACACATTTTACCTTCAATTGCATATTTGGGTGTTTATGTAAACGAGAGGATGCTGCTGGAGCTCTTGATTTGTTAAGGGAGATGCGTGCTCGTGGGCATGAGCCATGGATAAAACACTATACATTGCTTGTCAAGAAACTATGTGAAAGTGGAAAAGTTAGTGATGCTTGTAAATTTCTTGCTGATATGATCGAAGTAGGATTTCTCCCTGATATGATTGCATACTCTGCAGCTATTGATGGTTTTATCAATAACAATGAATTGGATCAAAGTTTGATTCTATTCAACGAAATTTGTGAAAAGGGCTATTGCCCTGATGTCGTTGCCTATAACACTGTTATTAAGGGGTTATGCAGGGCCCATAGGATAACAAAAGTGATCGACATTCTTAAAGAGATGCTTGGCAAGGAACTTGCCCCTTCAGTAGTTACATACAACTTGCTGATTAATTTGTTGTGCAAATCGGGTGATACCAATAATGCCATCCATTGTTTTTCAAGGATGAAGGAGAACGATCATGAGCCTAATGTCATTACATACACAACTTTGGTAGATGGGTTATGCAATGATGGAAAACCGGATGATGCTCTTAAAATTTGGTCTGAAATGGAGGATAAAAGATGTCAGCCAAATAGTATTGCTTATATGGCTCTTATTCATGGGCTTTGCAAGTGCCAGAAGCCAGATGTTGCTTTGTTTTATTTGCAAAAGATGGAAGAGAAGGAGATGGTACCTGATAAATATGTTTACGAAGCATTAATAGATTCTTTTAATTCTAACTCAAACAAAACCATGGCTGATGAATTATCAGAAAAGATGGCCAGGCTGAGTACTGCATCCTGATTAGGTAAATTTTTGAGGTTCTTATTACATAGACTTGGTTATGTGTTTAATCAGTTTAAGGTAACTATATTGGATCAAACTAGTCTTTTTTAACCGAGTTTTGTAATGTATGGAATTTTGATTGTTTGAGTTTGTGTCTAGATCAGTTTAGCTGTTTTTTCTTGTTCTTATTTTAAGTTATATGCGTAAGTGTTCATTATGACCTTTTAGATAAAATATATTATTGACATTTTGGTGTTTTATACAACTAGTTTGATAATATTTTGTTTACTACACCTGTAGAATTATGGCAATCAAGGTTTTAAAAGTTTTGTGTGAAATTAGCCTATATATGCCCTAAGAGTGTTCATAATAACAAAATGTAAGACTAATCACGATTGTCCATGTTGACAATCTAATCTAGATCTAGATGCACATGTTCAATTTTATGGGAAGTGTTACTTGTTAAGTAAATTGTTCTTTATAATTACAACACCATAGTCATCAACTTAATATTGTATTGTGCTATTTTTATTTATTATGGTTGAAATATGTAGGTATTTTCTTGTACACGTGAGCTAAAAGTGCACAGTGAATTAATGCAATGAAATGAAGGTGTGAATAATTTCAGCATTGATGATTGAACAGCTTAAGTGAATGCAGTGAAGCAATTTGACAAATCTCTTTGTGACACTCAGCGAAGAGGAATCCAAGCATTAACAGTTATATGATTATGAGCCAGCTTTCACTTATCATCAATAAGGATCTAGACTAGAAATACAGTCGAGTCCTGCAGAGATTCAGGTAGTGTTCTTTCGTGTCTTTGTTTTTGTTTATGCTTTTGGTTTTGATGTTTTTGAGGTGAAAATAGTTGATTGATGTGATGTTTTATATTAAGAATGAGTATTGAATATGATATTTTTTTAGAGAAAATTTGATCGAATAGTAAAAAAATGGGTTAAAAAACACAAATGAACAATCCATGATTAGCCATCAAATTAACGAGTTATCTTGTTCCTTGATTTTACCATATAGCTATCTTTAACAATTAGGAATGTCACATTTGGCACATTGAAATTGATACTTAAAATTTACAAATTTCATTTATTAACAAAGGTATGATATAACTTCTGATATAAATTTGGCGGGTTTTACTTAATTTTGGTAATTTTGATGTTCTTTACAGGACCCAATGTGCCTTTATGTTTCCTAATATATTTTTCTTGGAAGAGGAGAACATTGTGCTTTGTTGTGGGAACGGCATAATACTGGATCGATAAGTGTGGCGCTCGGAATGCCTGGCTAATTGAGAGATAAGCTCTAATCAAGAAAGAAAAGAGCGCATGTAAGTAGGAGCAAAAGGAGGCAACATAGAGGAACAAGAAAAAAAAGAGGAAGAGAAGGGCGACAAAGAGGAAGAGAAGGGCGACGCCAGGAACCTGACTTCTTTGATGATTCTTGATATTCGATGGTGAAATCAATTTCTATTCCTTTAATTCTATATATGAATTTGATAATTCTTTCAATTATTTTGTAAATTTGTTTGGACAACTAAACCTTTTTCTAATTTGAGGATGACAAATAGATTCAAGTTGTGAATTAGTGAGATGGGATTGTGTTTTTGACTTAATTCTTATTAGTTAATTTGATATTCATTTGTTTCTTTTGTTCATCATGCTCAAACTGGAGAAAGTATTAATTATCATTCAAATACACACTACACTGGCAGAACTATATAATTCATAAATGGAACGAAAGGGTTAGAAATTGTTATTACCAATGAAATTCAGGAAGTTGTTGGGAACCTGAGCCTATCTTCCTCCAATCTCGATCATGTGAGTCTCTCTCCTCCCTTCTTTTGCAGCCGATTCCTCATGCTGCTTTCTGCATTTCCCTTTTCCTCAATTAGAGATTAACCATTAACTAGCTTTCATGGCTTTTGGAGGTCCAATTTTTTTTATCAGCCGGTGATCTTATTGTTCGCACATTAAGTTTGTATTCACTTCTGTTTTGTCTTCTTGAAAAATGCTTTGAAACATTTTGGCTACCACGGTTATGTAGATCTGCTAAATATATGCTATTAATGACTCTTGCTATGCTACACTTTGTATGACAATATATAATAGCAAATACCAATTCGATCGTTGTATTTTGTCTGATGAAGTGGTTAAGGTTTTTCAAACTTTCCGATTATTCTCAAAAGTGTTATGAAATCTTTGTTAGCTCTAGATTTCTCGTATATGTGTATATCCACATTTTCTTGACATTGTTTTGTTTTTCTAGATTACAGTAAAGTATAGGATTAGACATTTCATATTATATATATTCTCCTAATTTTGTCGCAATAATGTATGAATACAAGGGGTTCTTCCTTTTCTTTTAAGCACACACTTTTAGATGAGATGAATGAATGTACGATTTTGCAGTGGTGCTAGAGCCAAAAGACCTTGGTTTGGGAAATCTATGGTACCTTATCAAACAATTAGTTCCATGTTTAATACAATTGCCTCTGTAGGTATAAAGTTTAATATATTTCACTTGTGCTCTCTGTACTTGATTGCAAACTGGAGATGTATATTGTTTTTATGCATCTGGTGAAATACAGATAAGATGTAATTTTCCTAAATGTGGGAGGAATTTCTTTTGCTGTTTGTGAATTTCCAGGTTTATGGAATTGCAGTTCCTGTTAATGCATAAGATGCTGAAACAACACCAAGGTTAAGAGTAAATTGTGCTTCAAGAGAACAAATGGGGGAGATTTCTGTTAATTCAGATATGGGAAAAATATCTTACCGTAGTTTGTTATTTCTGGTCGAAGTGAATTTATCTTATCCATTGTTGTTATGTTTATAGATATGATGGATTTAGAAAGATATGTTATTTTGAAATAAACGACATATGTCTACTTCATAAATGTAAAAGTCAGAGTTAAGTTTCTGTTCATATATCTGTTGGTTGTAGTCATGCAATATACTGAATACCATATGAGATGGTGTTCGATATATGAGTTTCTTGGTATAGATGTTACTTGTTTTGAAATTTCGAAAGCTTTAAGATGAAAGTTAGGGTCTAATATGATTGTGATGTTTCTACTGGAAATTAGGAGTGGAAGTTAAATTTCCTAAGTGAAATGGTGAAGGAAATACTAAAATAATCCGATATCGAAGATAAATAAAAGTACATCTGGACACAACGTATATTTTGGAATCACCAAATGCCCTCGATAGTTCGTAACTAGTTATGCTAGTTCGAACTTGATAATGGGAGACATTTTAGATTATCCTTGAGCATGCCTAAGACGACAATTGTCCAAATAACAAATTATTGTTACATTATTAATAGAATGTAAGTGTGGAATATAATTTTTTAAGATAAAATCGTTACAGATGGTAATCCATAATAAAAAAATTATAAATTGCCACATTATAAAAAAAAAAAAAGAAACGCAAGCAAACACTAACACTTTATTAATGTTAACGGTTTTCAACACGGATACAATTATTCTTAAAAAGTAGATAAAATAAAATTTCACTCATGATTAATAGTTATCACAACCACGCATGGCCACATCAATCCCGCCACCAACATCGACAAATTTACCATTTACCATGATAGTCCTTGTCTTTTCCTTTGCTGGTGCCACTACCACTCGACCCCGACCTTTTTTTATTTGGCGCCATGGTGGTTGGCTCCACTCCAAAGGGATTATCCACGCCAACATTGGTTCCCGGTGGAACAAAAGGCATTTGCCCGACCATATTGTTTACATCATTTCCAAATTGAGTCACGGCTTCTTTCAACGATTGTAGTTGCTCATATCCGAGTCCCTCCAGACTTGGGCTTCCAAAGGGTATCAAATTCTCCCTCATCAACTTCACCAATTCTTCACCCCGTGCTTTCTCGGCAACGATATTCTCCTCAACTCGAGTCAGATCATCTATCTCACTTTGTTGCATTTGGGCCAAGTCTTGATCCTCTATCCACTGATTACCTACATTGATATTCTCCGGGGCTAGAAACTTGTCAGTGATTGAGTTGATATTGGGATGTCCAAACGAATGAGCTTTGTCTCCTGGGGAGAACACTACGATGCCGGCCTCTGCACCTGTTAGAGTGCAAAGTTCACTTGCTTTTTTGAAAAGCCCGGGTCGGCGCTTTGAGAATGTTGCTTGAAGATCACTTTTTTTCTCTATCTTTTCCATTGGGATCTTGCGACGACCGGCCTTTCGTTGCGAAGATTCGGATTGATCTTTAGAAGTGCTCATGATGTCAAGGATGGATAAGAAGTTAAGCTTGTAAGATTTTAAACAGGAAAAGAACAAACTAATTATGCATTAGTGATATTGCTGTGTTTTTTCATGCATGAATGTGCTAATATTTATACTAGTCTAGACATTGTTGATTTTTTTATTTTTTTTTAGGAAAATGAAATTGATGGCCTTACTCCACTTTTGGTTTACGTAAAATTTATCATATATATAAAATTCTTCTTCTTATTATTAATAGTTAATTAATGTTGGATATAAAATTTTTCCAAATATTTGACTCAAAATCTTGAAATTTAGTATTAAATACTATTGTGATATTGCTATTTTTTCTTTAAAGTCAAATCACATAATACTTATTTTCCATTCAAAATATAAATAAAATTATTAGTTCTATTTTCAAAAACTTAACACATAAAAAAACTTTAAAAAAAAAAAAAACCTTAACACATAAGACCTGGGATGATCAAGTTAGTCGCTAGTTCGAATCCCACTTACACCTTCCTACCCGTGCTGATTTGCAAGCTAAAAATGAAATAAAATAGATAAATAGAAATATGACACAAATGAACACACCATTAGAGCGTGTTTGTTTTGTAAAATAGTTCGAAAAAATATATATATATATATAATTTTTTTACTTAAAATAGAGAAAATTGTTAAAGTAATATTAAAATAATAAATATGTATAATAAATATGTTTGTTTACTTATGGGATCTGATTTTCGGTTTTACTATTCTAATTTTTTTTCCATAAAAAATATCAAATTAAACACCTATTTTTTATTTAATATATTATACTATAATTAAAATTACATTCAAAACATCGTATCAATACATATTTATATCGCACAAATAACTATTTCAATTCAAAATTTTACTATTTAAAATCAAAATACAAAAACTAAAATCTTACAAGTAAACACACAATCTTAGGTTAATTGGGCTTGGGTTTTAACTTATTTTTCAAAATAAGTTTAAAACGTCAAAATATATTGAGTAATACCAAATAAAAAACAAAGATACGAACAACTTTTGAATCATAAAATGAAATTAGTACTTTCGGAGAGATAAAGTACAAGCTATAAATTACAAAAAGACTTATTTTCAAGAAAATTATCTCCTTTAAATTGTTTTTGAAGCATGGAAGGATCTTTTCAAATATTAAAATGTTTAAATATATATATATTATTTCTAAAATACATAAACATACACAAGGGATCATATAAAAGCTTGTTTTTTTCTTCATCAAACCTAAGAAAAAATACAATAAGGAAGTTGATAATACAAGTAGAAAAAAAATAAAATACAATAGTCTAGTGTGATGTAGCGACACCAAATAATAATACAATAGTATTTATAGTGGAGAAAAATTCATAAACATTTGTTATTAAGCTCGGATTCTCTCCTTATCATTTTCTGATTTATAAAAATAAATGTAATTAGAAATACGAGAATATCAACGTAGATATTAAAAATAAAAAACTGCAAACAAACACATGAAAACGGAAAATATCAATTAATTTACGTACATATGCATTTATTCAAAATCTAGAGTGCGTTTAATGAACGTGACAAGGAATGTAAAACGTAGGCGTAAAACCATTCATTAAATTTTTTTAAACAACATGGGCACGGTTTTTTTTTTTCTTTATTTATTTATTAATATTATTTTTTAAAACTACTTTTTCCCACAAAAATGATAGCCATAACTCATTTTTCATTCAAAGTATCATATCCAGCAACTATATTTACTTAACTATTTAACACCCTAACCACCTCTGACCCTCTCTGTGGGAGTTAGACATACTAGCTTGTTAGAAATTTTGACCGTTTAATCCTTAATTTAGTCATTCGATAAATATAATAAGTTGATCCAATCCTTATCATAGCCATTGGATTCGGCCCAAACCCATTAACCCAAACCAAATCATTTATGCTAAACCCCAAGCCCATTCCTTAGCCCATTAACTGGTTTCTTAAGATTGTTAGGAATTGTAACCATGTTTGATGTAAAGTAGAAAGTGGAGGTTTTGGGTGTGTGACTTGTGAGGTATAGAGTTAGAGGGGTTTGGTGTGAGTTAGTTTCATTGAGTAAAACAACAAAACCGATAGAGAGTGAGAAACAAATAAATTAGAGCCGACAAAAATTGATCTGACACGATAATTTGATACGAAATAATTGGGTTTGAGTCAATTATTTCAACCTGATTATGTATACAAGTTGATACAAACTCGACACGATAATAAACGGGTCGAGTTAGGGTTGAGACTCTCAATTCGAACCCGACACGACAACTGATATATTAATATTGATTAATATATTTATTATATGTGTACAATAATTATAATTTAATAATTTGTTCGTATATTAATTTAAACTAAGTTCAATTTTAAATAATTAAACCTAATTCATTGTACACATTACACTCAGAACCAATAAAAACTAACATTACACGATAACACGACAAAAAATAATTTAATTTGAATAAAAAATTTCGACTTGATTATGTATACGGGTCAACACGAGTCAACACAAACCTGGCACGATGATAAACGCATCAGGTTAGGATTGAGTAATTTAACCCGTTCAAAGTATTCAATCCGACACGAATCGACCCATTGCCGGCTCTAGAAGAAACCATCCGGTGAGGTTTTCCAATGGGATTCCGGTGAAAATAGAAACCCTTTTGATGGCCGCAACGTGGGTGTCATGGTTTAGAATGAAGTGCCGACCTCCACCTTGTGGCGTTGTTACCTCGGATCATTTTGCACCTGGGTCTGAGCCGATAGTTCGTGTATTGTCGTAGGTCGGTGGATTGTTAACTCGAAATGGAATCTGTTTCGGCATTCTAGAATTAGACACTAACAGGGAAGTAATTTTCAATTTGCAATTTAGGGCCTGTTTGTTTGCATTTTTAATTTCCAGAACTTAGTTAGTAATTTTATTATCAAAATGTTTTATACTGTTTTGGGTTTATTTGTTCCGAGAAAAGGTATTTGGTGCGGAGGAAACCACACCAAAACCGTATCATTTATGCTTAAGTGGTGCAGGGTGGCAATACTTTAGCATCGGTTCACCGAAACCACACCATAAATAAGAGAAATAACTTTTGTATCATCGAAAAGGAAGCCATTTTTAATTAAAAAAAAAAAATAGTAAGCGCCCAAGGAGACACCAAACATAATTAATAATAAATATATTTTTATCTTTGTCACTCAAGTGGCTCCAAAAAATAATTAAAAATAAATAATAAATACATTGAATAATATATATATTTTAAAACCCTAAAAGATGGCCAATAAAAATTTTATAAATGAAAGCAAATGCATTTAAAATTTTGAAGTTAGCTAATAATCGAAAAAAAGCCAGCCAAATCAAATGAGGTTAAGTATAACTACAAATCAATCAGCTCTGACAATCATCAACGGTCAAATTTGTACAACTAACATCAAGACAAAAGAAAAAAAAATCGTGATCACAAACAATTAATATAATTAATTTAAATTAAAAATAATAAATTACATCAAAAGAAATTTATATTAAAAAATATGGAATTTCAAATTAGCAATCATTAATACATTAAAATAGCTACAACGGTTCTATCGATTGACAATATCATCGATACTAATTTTCGTAAACGCATCTCATTCTAGAAAAGTAACTAAACAATCATTCAATAATTGATCTTCCGTAATTTGTTCTGGATGATAGTCATTGCTGAAAAGGATCTTTCCACGGTTGCAGTTGCTACAGAAAGTAGCAACACTAATTTCAATAGCAAGTAGATCCTTGAATGTGTTTCATTCTTCTTTGTTTCAACAAGTTTCATAAAAAGTTCATTTAGATCCTTCAAATCCCAAAATCTCTCATCACATCGAATATCAGCAATGAAATTACCCAATGAATATTAAAAAATCATCAATTCTGCTTCTGAAAATTCTGTAGGATAAAATTCTGCAAGCCGTCGCAATATCTTTTCATCAAAAGCAGAAAACCGATTAGAAGGAAGAAAACAAGACATACACATCAGTAATTCTTTGCTTACTTCATTGAATCGATTTTCAAGTTCTTGCAATTGTAGATCGATTATACTCAAGAATACTTCAACTCAAAAATGATGAAGATTTGTCACATGTGGAGACCTATTTCCACGATAATACCTCCTCCCCATAATAACATATTTGTCCTTCATATAAAAAATCTCCACTTCATGCTTAACCATAAATGATGCAACTATTTCTATGAAATCGTCCCATCCATTCTCTCTCAAATCTTGAAGGTTTTTCTTAGTTACATCAACCATGGACATTGCATTTACAATGTCTTGTTCTTTTTTCTGCAAGGCAAATTTTAGTTCATTTGTAATTTCAAATATTGACAACATCAAATGTGCCACGAAACTGAATCAAACGACAACATCAAGTGTGTAAGTGACTCAGCTTTATTCTTGTCTTGCATATCAGAAACTTCTCCAATGGCATCAAGTGATTCAAGAATCGAAGGAAATAAATGAATCACATTTAAAATTGTTTTAAAATGTGATCCCCAACGAGTATCTCCAGGCCTACTTAATCCAAGCTCTTGATTTAAACCTGTTCCAAATTCGATTTCCTCCAAAGACAATGCTTGCACAACAATTTCAGCTTGTTTTTCTCGAAGAATTTCTTTTCTTTGGGGTGAACCTCCAACAAAATTCAACAAAGGTACAAGAACATCATTAAATAATCAACTAACATCTCTATTCTTTTGAGCAATAGCAATAAGAGTTAATTGAAATTGATGAGCAAAACAATGGACATAATAAGCACTTGAAGATTCTTTAAGAATTAAAGTCTGCAAACCATTAATTGACCCTCGCAAATACCTCACAACGTTGAGTTGTGTCTGCAAGAACACCTATCGACTGACCATCTGGAAGAACCACTAGAACCCAAGGATGTGATTGATACAATGAAGTTGTTCCAGTGCCACAACCCCAAGCATTAGTGTTCCAGGT